TTCTGAGTTATATACTTTCTATGAACCATTCCATATATTACGCAATCTACTTTGTTATTATTCACACTTCAATTGTTATCATAATCACAAATGCCTATTTCATTATCCGCTCTATTATTATTGTCATCATCATCATATAGTGTTAGTTTTCCTCACGGGATAAAATTTATCAAATATCATATATATACGATTGTACAGCTTGAAAATGAATTCGTTGAAAAAGTCTCTTCGATGAATATCTTGTTCTTGATATTAAGTAGAGGTCTGATGATAACAAAACCATAAAAGTAAGACACTAATCTACCAAGGATCATGAAGCGAAAACATCGACTCAACTCAAACAAGAGAACTGACTAGTGAGATATTTTCGTCTTAACTGATAACTGTCTATGAATCAGCAGACAGAAACTTACTTAAGGATAGTTTCCTGCACATAGCAAGTTTCACAATACTTAAGAATATCAGTGAAAAAGTAGGATAAACTTGAGCCAACTTTATTTCATCTATTTCTACCTTAGCATAAACGGATTCGGGACAGGATGACCCGACAAAACACCAAGTTAATCGTTGTGGGAGACAAGTAAATTACGTTAACAGGGAGTGGAAGAAATATCAATACACGTGAAGTTAAATGCCGGAAAAATAACTATTGTATATCGAAGGTAATGCCATTGTTACTAAAACTAATTAAGTTGAAGATATGAAACTATGCATAAAAATACTTGCAAAATTGAGCTCTTGTAGTATAAACAGAGTGAGAAAAGGAGAGGAAGATAGCTATGAATAACTACCTAATGACAAGTCAGTTACACTCTAGATGAAGGAGGAATTTAAGAAGGGTAAGAACCATCAAATTTTATTCAATTTTTACGGTAAATTCTTAGATCACCGACTCAATATTCTTGGAGACAAGACAACAATGAGCATGTGAAGGAAGTAATAAAATCGTATCGATGACACATTTATAACCTTTTTTTCCTGATAATATTGTTTTTCGATTCAACATTTAACATATTATAACCGTGCTTTAAGAAATATGCTTACAGTGTTGCATAAAAAACATGCTACTGATTGGTTGTGAACAGTTCTGAAGCTTTTTCAGCTGATATACCCCTGAGTCAATCACATAAACTAGGTCTACATATACAGGATGGTGTTCAGTTACCCTTACAATTAACCTTATCATAGTCATAATTATTGATTGGATAATAATATGTTTAGTCATCACTAATGTGATGATACTGATAACTGAATATTTTTATGATATCAAGAATTTACAATTCTGTTCTCACCCGTGGAATAAATGTGCATCTACCTCATGATTGTATCCTTATTCCTATACTATTGCTAGTCGCCATGTTTGAAACAGGTCCTAACACTACACGTATCCCACCAACTAACACTGTGAAAACTCAACTTCTGTTTTGGTCATAATATAATATAATATAATAATAATAATATAATATATATATAAAATGGATAAGGTAGGTACAAAGCAACTACTCACCGGATCTGTTTTTTAGAAATGTCATACAGTGAAACAGTAACATTTACTGAATAAAATTTCTCTATGTAAAATTTCTAATAACGGACTAAAATGGAATTACAATCTACCACAGTGCCTAAGTTTTACTCTTATACTTACCGGATGAACTGGTCGTAAATAAGAGTGGTTGATAAACAGCCTAAGGCTAAATACTGTCCCGTGGTCGTCTATCTTAGTGGCCGGATTCGTTTCAGTTGTTCAGCTAGTTATAAGTACAACACTTATGCGTATATATATATATATATATATATATATATATATATATGCCATCGTCAGTCCCTACACAACTGAAGTGATCAGCTGTGTAATGAACAAACCGCAATGTAGTTAGCGAGTTACACCACAAGTGATTTTATAAACCTTGAAAATATGAAGTTGTTTAACCCTAAGAAAAATATTGCTAATCTGCCTCTTTTTAACAGCCAATTACAAGGAGAAGAAATTTCGTATTAGTATTTAGTATCACGAAATGTTCCAACAAATATCAGGTCTCAAACTGCCATATGCCAAGTAAAAGATGCGTAAACTAGCTGCATTATTTCAAAAATTCAGGACTGACGACAAGTAAACTATAAATCATTGTTTATTGATGGATATACACCCATCTGATGTCCATAAAGCAGTCAGACAGTCAAGTGAATAACCTCTTGCAAGCGTTTGTTGGATTTAGTTTTAACTTGATCAGCTTTCCGAAACAGAAAATCTCCACTCCTTACTATTTGTTCAGTAGTGAACCCTAAGCATTGTTGTCAGCAGAAATGCTTCCAGATATCGTATAAGTCTTTCTCTGTTTCCAGTTCTTCGATAAATAATCATTTCAATATCAAACTTTGAATAACTAATTAGTCCCAATTCATTTGGAACTGAAAAGCAAACTTAAAGTTCCACTGGGAAGGACCTATAGGTATAGTTGTAGACATTCACCAAACTAAGGTGCTGATTCGTGGTTGTTTGAGGTTAAGATATTTCATCAGAACTTTTCCGCAAGAATCAGATTATTGATATTCCAACTATCCTAAGCTAAGCTTGTATCCCTTTTTGTTATCTTTTCATCTTAGATTCAATCCAGTATTTTTCTGTGTGCAGATACATTTATGAGTAAATATGCTCCGTATTATTCCCTAACCGTGTATTTTAATTTCAATATATGAAGAAACGTGCAGATACAATATGTGTATGTGTACAAGTGAACGGGTAAATCAAATGGTAAGCTTTATGCTAAATGAACGAGTAAATTACTCGCCTCTTGCAAGAATGATAGTTTTAATAAGCACACCAATAATAAAAATAACAAGTGTCATTATTTTGAGACTATTTCTAAGATGAATGAAATATCGTTGTTTGCTGAAAACAATTAAAATATACAGAGTAAAAATGTCATTTACATATTTCTTAACTCTACAGAGGTTTTTCCTACCCACTGGAAAGGTGAAATTTACTTAAGGTATCCAGAATGATCTCATCGAAAGTTTGTACCAGTACACACAGATGCTGCTGACTTAGTATTCTGAGTTCTTGCCAGAATACTGCTGTCAACGTAGTAGTATGGCTAGTCGTTATTCTATGACGCAACTTAAATAAACCTTACTGAACAAACTGCGTTGTGGTGCTTAAAAACAACCCACCTGATAGGAGACAGTTGAAAGTGTTTTTGTACATGGATGATGATGCTTAATTAACGTGAAATAAACGTCACATAACAACTTAAACATTCAATTCAGTAACTGGGATGTTTAAGTGAAATGTACATAAATCAGATCAGTTATCTGTCAAGAGTGATTAAAGTGGGGACATTCAACTTGAGCTTCATTGGCAACAACATTAATGTGTACTAGTTTCCATATGACTGCCCATTCGTAAATTCATGCAGCTAACCAAAAGTAAATTTTGTTTATTGGTAGTGTCTTCAAATGCACTGTTTAATAATATAAGCTGAAAAATCTGGGGTAAAAACAGACTTCCAGAGAGTCTGGAATATGTTTATTAAAGTTATTCTAACTAATGACAAAATACGCGCGATCGGGTATAGAAGTTATGTGAGCCAAAACAAGCAAAGTTCGCACGGCAAAAATTTTCAGATAGCACATTAAAATGAATGTTTCTGTGACAGTGACTATCTCTAGATATTACAGGGAAGTATATAAGTGCTCAGTGGTTAGGTTTACACTGGAAGAGAATAAAATCACCCAAGCAGTAATCCTTTTCCAATGTTTTATCTATAATTTTGAATCCAGTAAACTTCAGCCCAAATGTATCTGTCTCATTTCATCCCTACCTTAATAATTAAAATCTCGCCTAGTTAACTAGTTTACTAGTTGCTAGCCGGTCCTAAGCCGGATAAAAAGGAAAGGTTGGGTATATGGCTAGCAACCCTATCCCGTAAAACCAATTCAACCGTGAAAGAAACTTCAAAGCACAAAGAAAATATAAAAAATAAAACTAAACCTATTCCTCGTTAGAATCTGGGAGACGAAATAACGCTGGTTGGTGAAAGCCTTCGGGAAGCCAGTTGGCCGATGTGTCTCCTCTTCTCTTGATGAAAGAGAAGTAAGCATAGAGACATGGAATGTCCACAATATGTTTGAAGCTGGCTAGCAACGGTGGCCAGATTGCAAACGAGATGAGAAGGTATGACATAGAAGTGCTAAGAATCTGCGAAAGCAGATGCAATGGAAGTGAACTCTCCAAACTGTCAACTGCAGAGTCAATAATCTACTCCGATATCGTCACCCAGACGACAACCACAAGCACATTTTGTTTCGGATTGGCTGTCATGATGTCCCCAACAGCATCGAAGGCTCTCTCTCTTGCAGTGAGAACCAATCTCCTCCCGCAGGATAAGGTTCACGACAGCAAGACTGAACTCAAAAAGAAGGAAAATCACAATCATACAAAGTTATGCAACGCGTCTACAAATAATGTAGATCAAGAGAAGAAAGGGGAATTCTACGAACAACTGCAATCAGCACTGCACAAGACCTCACTCCAGTTGGTGATATCCAAATTCTAATGAGTGGGGTGACATGAGTGGGAAACTGGGAGCAGACAACATAGGAAGAGAACCAATCATGGGTCAAGAAGCACTCGGTCAAGTGATGAACGAGAATGGAGAAACTGTTTGCAGACTTCTGCGCATTTAATGATTTGGTGATTGTAGGCTTAGGCAGTGTGTACAAACACAAGGATACTCACAAGGCAGCAACATGGATTTTATTTCACCAAATGGACACACTAAAAATCATATCGACGTCATCTCAATCTGAAGAAGGTGAAGACGCAGTCTACTGGACACAAGATCAAGCTACGAAGAGGAGCAGATGTTGGTTCACACCACTCATTTGCTAGTGCACGGAACCTGCAAAATCAAGTTGAAAGGCTTGAAAGAAGTTGGTGATAGACCACAGTTCAAGTTCAACACCCAGAACAGAAACTGGGCTGAAGGACGAAACTAAAAGGGATGTCTTCACGTCAGTCATTCATAATGTAAAAAGGAGACATTAACCAGCATTCGTGAAGAAACTTGCATGGAAGAAAACTAGAACTCATTGAAAGAGATGTGGAAGGGAATCTACATAACGGTGTAAGGAAAAAAGAAGAAAGAGGAAAAGGAATGGATCTCGGCTGACACATGGAAACCAATGGAGGAGAGGAAGATGGTTGAGCAGAAGGTGAACCAGCGCAAGTGTGAACAACGAAAAGAGGAACTGAATACAACCCATGAGAAGCCGGAAAAAGAAGTGAAGAAGGGTGTGCACAAAGACAAAAGACACGTCCACGACACATTGACAAGTGAAGCAGAACAGATTGCAAGTAGGAGAGAACTGGCAACACTATATCAAATAACCAGGTCATGATCTGGGAGGGAAGAGATCAACACAGATGAAACCATTGGAAGGTAGTAGAGGAAAGATGGCTACAAAGAAAAACGATGGGCTGACCACTTCAAAAGCTCTTGAAACCACCACCATCATCACCACCTGCAACTCGTCCAGAAATACCATCAGCAGACCAGCCACACAATTACCATTGAACACAACCCCTCCGACAAAAGCAGAACTGAAGTCCTGAAGACCATAAAGTTACTGAAATACGGGGAAGCATCTGGACGAGATGGAATTCTGCCAGAAGCACTGGAAACAGATGCAGAGACAAGAGCGGACATGCTAACACCACACCACTAGTGCACAAGGTTTGTAAGGAAGGAAGGAAGGAAGGAAGGAAGGAAGGAAGGAAGGAAGGAAGGAAGGAAGGAAGGAAGGAAGGAAGGAAGGAAGGAAGGAAGGAAGGAAGGGTACTTGCAGAGTGGAAGAAGGAAGGGCTATCTTTTCAAACTCCGAAAGAAGGGAGACCTAAGTCTTCGCGAGAACAAGAACTGTCGTGGAACCATGTTCCTGTCCCTGTGCACACCAAGCAAAATATAAGGCCATATCACCCTGGAGAGACTGAAATGTACGCTGGATTCAAAATTACAACCGGAACAGGCTGGCTGTCTGGCTGACTTCGGGAAGAACATGCCAGGTGCCGATCAAATTGCAACACTACGCTACGCATCATCACAGACCAGAGTTTGAATGCAGTCAACTCTCTACCATACCTCAACTTCATCGACTTTGAAAAGGCCTTCGATAGCCTCGACCGAGAAGTAATTCGGCAACTGCCTCAACACTACGGTTCTAGTGCCACAAACCTTTATCAACCTCATTCACAGCTATAAGATGATGCCACATGCCAAGTGATACCCAGTGGAAAGCTCAGTGACGCCTTTGAAGTGAAGTGAAGACAGGAGACAGGAGACAGGAGAGAAGAGTAAGACAAGACTGCCACCCACTCTCACCCGTGACCCTCCTGACTGTGGTTGACTCTACTGGATCATGCAACAGACAACCGTGAGGAGTGAGAAGATGGGCATACACTGGATGGACGGACGGAAGAAAAGACCCCAGAGGAAGACTTGGATTTCACCGACGACGATTTGTGTCTAATGACTTGTCGCACAAACTCGAAGATCTACAGGCAAAACTAACCAGCAATAACACTAAAAACCAACAAGTTGACAGAAGAGGCACGACAGCGAAAACGGGACTTCAGGTGAATGTAGAGAAGACGGAGGTGATGAAGATGCCCAACCAACAACAACGTCAACAACAATCACCAACCACCATGAACGGGAGAATTCTAGGGGAAGTAGTCTGTTTCACCTGTCTAGGCAGCATCGGTTCGACCACAGGTGGCAGCACAGATGAGGATGCGAAGGCCAGGATTGGAAAAGCAAGACAGGCTTTCATTATTCTCAAATCACTGTGATGATCTACTGCACTCCACTCAGCATAAAGTGTGAACAACATCCAGATTTTCAACACTAATTCAGTCAAGTCAGTGCTTCTACGTGATGGTTCAGGAACTTGGCGTATCTCGAAAGCATTTCCAACCGAATACAGACATTCATCAACAGCTGCTGCCTAGGCTCACTCGATACTGAATATCGATCATATGTCCAGAATAATAAGAATAAACAACAAGGAACTCTGGCTGACTGACAAGGAACCAACCAAGACGCCATTACCCACCAGATATGCAGAAGGAAGTGGAGACGTATTGGATTGGACACACACTGAGGAGACCGATTGGTGACATCATGCGCCAGACTAAGCTTTCGAGTGGAGCCGGAAGGGGGAAGCGAAGAGTTGGGCGTTCTAGGCGAGGGTGACGTGGAGGAGATCGTGTGAGGAAGAAGTGAAAGCTTGTGGGCAGTTGTGGTGCCAGGTTGAGAAGACTGCAGCAAACAGAGTGAAATGGTGACGTTCTACTTAGGTCCTATGTTCCATCAGTCACCCAAGGGACAAATAATAATAATAATCTTAATGGTAGTTTTGTTCTTGACTTCACTTGTATGGTGGTTCTTATGTATTAAAGATTACTTGCCTGTATCAATAAATATCTGTGAATTGTAGATGATCAGGGGAATATCTCTTCTGGAAAGGCATAATATGACTAAAACAAGCAGAATTAACTATTCATCCTAAATGCCACCTGATCTAACCTCTGGTTTTGTGCCGTACAAGTTGCATTTTTACGAGAAGTCAAAAAGCTGACCAGTGCTAAAGCCTGTTAATCAAAATCTAAATTCAAGAATTAAAAGTCGCATGGAAGTTACGCGTTTAGTCCGACGGATATTGATGAGAAAATGGTACATGGACCTCAACTGTTTATGAGTTACTATTGAATATCAAACTTAAATACCGCTCTTTCATTTTACAGTGAAGCTCTTGGTGTAAACGTTTCTCTTGTGGACTGTACTGGGACATTCTGAAGAAAGAAACTGATTTTTATATCACCGCCAGTTGAGGATCTAGTACTCAGGATGATTGTCCTAGTGAAGAGCAAATGCATGCTTCCAGAATCAGATGTTTTCTACAATATCATATTTTTCTCTGGCAATCATTTTCAGTTCATCTGACGAAGTAGACTTTTAAAAAGACGAAGACTTGGCCGGTCTCCATTGATGTTTAATAGAGAATGTCAGAATGATAAAGAATACATTCGTATAAATAAATTTATTATGGAATCCATCTACCAAGAACGACCTTAGTAGCCTAAGTAAGAGTTTTCGGGGAATATAAATGTTAAATTATTGGCTTAGGCTGCAGTATGTGCATTGTTTACCGCAAATAAAGTATGGCTGGAGAGGAATATGTGAGATTTCATTTGGGTAATAGTTGCGATAGAAATTTTTAATCAACCACAAAATCCTCGAACTTCATAAAAAGTATCACAAACCGACAAGTCTAATATTTAAAGTCACTAGAACTATGTCCGATCGAATGACCTAAGGTCAACTTTTTCGGGCGAAAATTTTGTAAACAAATTTTAGGGCTAAAGTGACACAATCAAGTGACGATTAACTACAACAAGTTGCTTGTTCCTCGAATAAGTTAGCCACAGAGGACTTTCTGAAGGTCATAAATAGCCACGTCAGTATTCATCTATAATGGCCAATAAAGTAGTCGGACAACTTACGCGGTTAGATGATTTGAAGGTAACACTGAGATGCGATAAATGGGATTTATGTTCTCATGGCGACTTATACATAACTTTTGTCAACTTTAGCATTAGATATACTGTTTTTTGGTTGTGAAACGCTAGGAATATACTATTTCAAGTCTACAAGATTCATTACAAGGGAAGAATGCCTAGTGATATCGATGTAATAACTGCTTCCTGCCCAAGTTTTCTTTTCATTCAGTAGAAGCATGATACACGTCATCTCAAGGTTCTGGGCTCTGTTTGAATGTAGGGATATCTTTATAGTAAATGGAATCTCTCTTAAATATCGACAATAGTCACTTAGTCTTTCTCTCATATATCATTTGTATATTACTTGGTTACCAATCCTGCTTTTTGGATAATAGAATTAATCAGTGGAATCTGAAGTTTTGTCACTTAACAGCAATGTATTATGAAATGAAGTAAGGTGACGAAGAACTGAACTATTATTATGCATCCACTGCTTGTACGTAAGTTTATGCAGAACATAAAACTGAAATATTTAAATAAAATGCTATATTGTAGGCACAAAATGACTGACTAAATAGCAGGACGGAAACAAATAAGAAAAACACAAGGTGATGACTGCGGGTGAGACGAAAGCGTAACTTGTGGCAGATTTCGAACTAGTGGCCTGCAATTACTGACTAGGTCATCTACCAACTAAGAAACAATTACTAATATTTTCTTGCGCAGCGGTGAAAACTTCAAGAAACAATTCAATAAAACCCACTAAACTTGAGTGCCACCATGATTCCAAATTTATGAAGTGTTGCATTTCGATATCTTCCCTACTACATAAAGTAGGTGGAACTGATGAAAACATCCGTCTTGATGACAGAGTGCCTTTTACAAGTAAAGCAAAACCAAGCGAATCTTTACAAGTACTATTGAAGCTGTCTGACGAATGTTCAAAATTACTTTCCAAGGTTAAATAAATGTAAGTTTAGCACTTACAAATCAGAACTGTTTTAAATGTTTATAGTTCTATGGTTGACATCAACCTGCTATTATATGCATTACAATTACTTAGCGGTTTCCATTGTGTTAAAATATCAAGGTGCGGAAGTTTGAAGAAAGCATGAGTCAGGGATATGACGTCGTAACCTGTTAGATTAACTGGGTATTTTTATACAGCAGTTGGTCGTGTGGAATACCGAATTTCAAAGTTGTTCTACCAGTTCAAGGTTAATATGAAATGATGAGACAACTAGTTTAAAATTTATATGACCAGGTTAATTAAATATAGGATGAGACGCTTGGATATGTTTTATCGCCAGTGGATTACCAAGGTTTGAAAATTATGTGAAGTATCACCCTGCTTTTCATTTAGTAATCTTTTGTCATGAGGTAAATAAGGTCTAGTCATAATCTTGGAGCTACTTGCTTTGTGCATAAGCAGGAGTAACTGTTAAGACCACCTTAACAAAAACTCCAATAACCATCTGGACTATTTTATTTCATGAAAATCTATCATTCCAGTCAAAATAAATAAACTTATTTGTTTTTTCAGTCGTTGCTAAGACAACCTTTAAAGTCATCCAACAAGTATCAGTTTCATTTTCTCCATGACTGTTACGAGTCATTGGTCAATCTTTATCTATACATCCAGTAGATATATTCAATACTTTCAGTAGTTTAGACGGTTTTAACCCTGGTAGATAGCTTACCTCAGTTGACTGATACTGAACTGGCATTCCCTCAACCAGAAATCGACACAAAACAAGAGGAAATACCGACTGTCTTCTAAACCATGTTGGCTTTGTATCATTAAAAGACTTAGAGTCTTTGGACCAAATAAAATCCAAAAGAAAGGTAAAAGAGCATACCTTTAAGCCGTTC